CTTGTAGGGACTCTCCATAGGCGTAATGCTTTTTCTACTGTACAAACTGTATTTTCTATCACCCTACACCTAACCCTACCCCTCACAGGAAACTTTCTGCATTATTACTTTCTCAAAAAAACTCATTCTGTAAGATTTATAAGCTTGTTTCCTCATAGGGACCTAAAAAATGTCCCCACAAGGTCACAATTGACTGATATTACTATCCTTGTGGGGACATTTGGTCCCCATAACGTGATGAATACCAGGTACACTCTCACTTACACACATACACTTACACACACACACACACACACACACACACACACACTCGTACTGAGGTAGAAGGTGAATCCGGTGTCGGCTGAACTCTCTCGGGCCTCGCAGTCTCCAGACGAACTGAGTGTTGTGACGTGAACGCCATACGTTCCTGCTTCTGAGAGCTCGGTGAAGAACTCGTGTGTGTTCTCATCCACCGTCGCCGTTTCTGTGGAGTTTCCTGCTCAAACAACGAAGACAAGAACAGAGGAATAGATTTACAAAGGGTTTAACACCTATTTTTATTTATTATTTTATTTATAAATGTTTGAGTTACTAATTATTACGGCCTATTTTACATCAACGCTGGCTGTTTTGGTGGAGTTTCCTGCTCAAAGAACAAGGAAAAGAACATAGAACATGCTTATTTTTATTACTGCCTATTTTAATTTATTTATTATTTATGAATTAATTAATTTGTTATGGTTTAATTGTCATATATTAATTATTATTGCCTATTTATATATTTTTTTTATTTATTAATTTTAAAAGTTTTATTTTTATTCATTAATTATTACAGCCTTTTTTTAAATGTATTTGTTATTTTCATTTATAACAGTTTAATTGTGATGTATTAATTATTACTGCCTATTTTAATTAATTATTGAGAATTTATTTATGAAGTTTTATTTTTATTTATTCATTATTACTGCCATTTTTATTATTTTTCTTTGTTTATTAATTTATAACTGTTTTATTTTAATTTATTAATTTAAGCCTATTTTTCTTTGTTTATAATTTAATTATTAATTTTAGTTCATAATTGCTTTATTTTTATTAATTAATGATTACTGCTTATTTTAAATTTATTTATTAATCTATTTATAATTTTTTTTTTATTAATCATTACTAAAGCATATCTTTATTAATTATGTTTATTTATTGATTCAGCATGAGCAGTTTTTAATCTAAATTAGATTGTATAATTTCGAAATCTGAAGCAAAAACAGAATGGTCTGACTTTATTTTTGTGAAACTATACTACATAAAACATCTGAATGAAACAGCAGACGAGCTGAACGAGACGCAGATGCACTCTCTGACAGCAGGTGGCGCTCATGAACAGCAATTATACAGTGTTTCCTTGGTTACCGCTGTAAACAAAGCAGAGCTGTGCTTATGAACAGCAATGTTCAGCAATGTTACGATGTTCAATGTTACGAACAGCAGATTGATGAAGAATGGCGCCGATGATGATGGCGGCCTCCGTGGCCTGCTCTGCAGTTGTTTTTGTGCTTTTGTTAGTTTGTCCTGTTTTTAGTTATATCCTGCAATCAGTTTCACCAGAGATGAATTGCTGGACATTCGGCACTACACATCACCCGATATTTCACCGGTTTTCGACTATTCTGATGTTTTGCTGGACATAGTAGTTGGCAGAGCAGCTGCGCTGATCAAGCGCTTCAGGACGCGCAGACGGGGGAAGCGAACAGGCGCCCTCGTGAAGCCCAGGCAGCGCGGATTTTGAACGCCGTTGCCCAGCATCCATCTGGCGAACCTCCGCTCTCTACCCAACAAAACGAATGAACTCCTTCTGCTCTCCCGGACAAATAAGGATTTCTCACACTCCGCTGTTCTGTGTTTCACGGAAACCTGGCTGAATGACGCCATACCGGACAGTGCGTTAAATCAGCCGGGCTTTCAGCTGTTCAGAGCGGACCGCGACGCAGAATCAACAGGGAAATCGCGAGGCCGCGAGACATGCTTTTACATCAACGAAAGGTGGTGTACAGATGTAACCGTGTTAAAGAAGATGTGCTGTTCAGATCTAGAAGCGCTTTTCATTAACTGTAAGCCTTTCTATTCGCCGCGGGAGTTTTTCTCGTTCATTCTCGTCAGTGTTTACATTCCTCCGCAAGCGCTTGTGAGCTCGGCTTTACAACAACTAGCTGATCGTATCACAGAGACAGAACAACAACACTCAGACTCTGTTTTAATCATTCTTGGGGATTTTAAAACTTGGGGACTTGGGGATAAAGCAAATCTCTCCCATGAACTGCCAAAATACAGACAGCACAACACATGTCCCACCAGAGACAGTAATATACTGGATCACTGTTACACTACAATAAAAAATGCATATCGCTCCGTCCCACGGGCAGCTTTGGGGCTCTCTGATCACTGTTTGGTTGATCTTATACCGACCTACAGGCAGAAACTGAAATCAGCTAAACCTGTATTAAGGACTGTAAAAAGATGGACTAATGAAGCAGAGCAGGATTTACAAGCTTGTTTCGACCTCACTGATTGGAGTGTTTTTGAAGCTGCTGCCACCAATCTGGACGAGCTCACAGAGACTGTAACATCTTATATCAGTTTCTGTGAATATATGTGCATTCCTACCAGGACTCATTTAACCTACAACAACGACAAACCATGGTTCACTGCAAAACTCAGACAGCTCCGTCAGGCCAAAGAAGATGCTCACAGGAAG